ATTATACAAGCAACTAAAATTATAAATAAATAAAATAGAAGTGAAATATATAAATAGAAAGCGACTAACGTGCGCCGCGGCGGACATTTCACGTTTACAGCAAAGGTTTTACGCGGTTTTAGTAGAGAGAGAGAAAAATATATATTTTCATTTTAGTCCTTATACTAATATATTTTAATATCTGCTCCTCCATTTATTATTATTTTCTATTTCTCCCTCTATGTTTAATCAATTACACATTTTCCCCCTTTTAGAAGAAAATTCTATGGCATTGATATACTTTTTCAACATAATATTATTGTTTGATTTTGAAACTTCTTTTTTTTTTCTCCTAAGAAGTTTTCAAAGTCATATAGGAAGCATCTTTATATTTTATTTTTATCATATAGTTATGGAATATATATAATTTTAAAAATATTAATATTTAAGAAGTGATTTTTTTTGTGGTTGACATAATTTAGTACATTAAATTTTGATTTGTAGTAGAAGGTAATTGCGAAGTCTTGATATATCCTTTTCTTCTAAATTTTAGTTTGTATTTTCTCATAACCTCCTTAGAGATATTTTATAAGTATTTAATTAATAGTCTTGTTTTATATCTCTCGATCCCTGATTATTTATCAATTTTTTTAAATAATTTAATATAATATCTTTTTGCTTCCAAATTTTAGTTGGTATTTCTGATAACCTTGTTAGAGATATTTTGTAAGTATTTAATTTATAGTCTTGTTTTATATATTCTCCATCCCTAATTACTTGTATACTTTTTCTTTTATAGTTGTTTATAATTACTTGTTCATTTTGAAAAATCAAGAAAGGACAATTTTTTTTACCTATTATACCTTCAATTAAATGACTAATTACTTTGAAAATGTAAAACTTTTTATCAACTTCATAATTAATAGAAGTAAAATGGTAAACTCACTAAGTAATTAATTATTTTTTTAATACGTGTGTCAATTTAAAAGTGGACAAGTAAAAAGGAAAGGAGGAAGTATATTTTTAAGCATATAGGGGTTTTTGGTAAAATATATTAGCAAAAACGCCGGATGCATTAGTTCTGTAGTCTCTCGTATGTTATAACTAACACTTGTATTCGTTATAGACTCTATTATGTATTAATGAATTAACTAGTACTCCCTTCACATCTAATTAATTGAATTATTAAGGTGTTACACATTCTTTAAGAAAAAAGAAGATCAAGGCATAAATTAGGCACAATTTATCATTTTTATCCTTATTAATCTTTTCAAATTTATGATTAAAATAACTAAACATTAATTAATAACTAGTTTCAATAAAACTAATGAAGGGTAAAATTGAAAAAGTATTCTAAAAGTAATTTTGAAAAATGAACAATTAAATTAATTTGAAAAATTAAAATATCTCAACTATTGAATTACTTTGAAATAGAGAGAGTACCATGAATTTCTAGGTATTAGTAATGCAAAGAGATTTAGTATATGCATTAGCATAATTAAAGATTGGGATAATGCCCAAGTACCCCCTCAACCTATGTCCGAAATTCCAGAGACACACTTATACTATATTAAGGTCCTATTACCCCCATGAACTTAATTTTATTAATAATTTTTTACCCCTTTTTAGCCTACGTGGTACTATCTTGTGGGCCCAATAAAGACTTTTTTTTCAAACTAGTGCCACGTAAGCTAAAAAGGGGTAGAAAATTACTTATAAAATAAGTTCAGGGGGGTAATAGGACCTTAGTATAGTATAAGTGTGTCTTAGGGATTTCGGACATAGGTTGAGGGGGTACTTGTGCATTTTCCCTTAAAGATTCAATCACCACTCGAAAGCACTTTTACATTTTTCTCACCTTCATTGATGAGGATATTTTTGTAAATAAATATTTTTATACAATACATATTGTTTCTAATACACCTTAACAGACAATGCAAAATAAATATTCACATATAGCAAACATAAAAAAATATATTTGTATGTTATGACAATAGTTTGTATAATTGTGCTACACCGCAAACATAAATATGTATATATTTCGCTATACATAAAAAAAAAGTAAATGTATAACTCGCTACACATGTATAAACAAAACAGTTGTTTATACATATACAAAAGAAATCAGTTGTATACGAAAGATCAATTGTATAATCTGTGTATTTATAAAACAAGAAAGAGTGAAAGGCAAAAGAAAATTGAGTAGAAAAATATTTGTATTATATAATTATAAGTGTATAGAATTAAGATAAATATATTTGCATGTGTATATACAATTAACTCTCGCTTTGTACAAACAAAAACATAATTTATATATTTAGTTTTTGTTTGTATAAGCAAGAGAGGCGAGGGCGGCAAGCGAGATCTTGGAGAGGGGAATGAAATAAATATATATTTCTATATTTCGCTCGCTTTAATCGAACAATATTATTTCACCTTTTTTTTAATACTAATAATTGAGTAAATTGCTATGGAATCATTTAATAGAGCATACAAAAATACTATTTAATAAAATATATAAATAATGCTTGTATTAGATATGCATAAATTATTAAAAAAATTGTATATAATAGCAAAATATTAATTCAAACTAAATGCTATAAACATATTTTGATTTAATATATATATTTCTCTCGCTTTATACAAACATAAACACATTATATACATTTGTGTTTGTATAAAAAGCGAGAGAGGCGAGCGACACTGCCACCAAACCAGCGTAGCGAGCGAGATTCGACCAGGGAGAGGCGAAAAATAGCAATAGTTTGCTATAGGATACAATTAAATCGAAATATATTTATAGCATTTAATTTGAATTAATACTTTACTATTATATACAATTGATCCAATAATTTGTGCATATCTAATACAAGTATTATTTATACATTTTATTAAATATTATTTTTGTACACTCTATTAAACGATTCCATAGCAATTTATTCGATTATTAGTATAAAAAAAGGTGAAATAATAAATAATGAAAAGAGAAAGGAGTCCTTATACAATGCATCTTGAATAAGTTGTCAGCAAGGACATTCTCATGCATGTGCTTAATTTTTAAAAATTATTTTGGTATTCTACAAGCATATTAAAATTTATGTTTACTAATTTCTATTAAATTTTTTTTTTATATTAAAAATTTAAATTTAAATTTTTTAATTAGGATGAATCAGCACATCCTATTGGTGGTGTGCATGTGCCCTTCCTTCTATTAAGGAGAAATGGACAATGTACTATTTTTATTTTTATTCATTTACATTAATGTTACACAAAGTATCTAAGTTTCATTTAGATTTTTTATGAATTATTACTTCTGTATATTTAAATTATCACTACTCCTAATTGTTTCTTCAGATCTAGTTATTTAATATTCTCTATGTCTATAAATTAAGTACTACACACGTATTAAAAAAAATGATAAATATAAGGGACTGTTTACTAAATTATTCCTTTTATTAGAATTTTTCGAAAATAAAACATTATAAAAAAAAAGTTATACAAGGATATAATTGAAAAGAATTATTCCTTTTATCTCGAATTGCTAAAATGATAGTTATTTTGAGATAATTATATTTTTATTAAAATGACATTTTTTTTGAGACGAAATAATAAGTATTACCTTTCTCCCGAAACAAATCAAAATAAGCAATTGTGATACGTAAATCATTGTATATGAATATGAGGTCATTGACGTTGAAAATAGTTTAATTGAGAGTTGAATTGTGATCTCTGCCACATCAACGTTCAGGATGTAAACACTATCAAATTATTAAGATTTTTACGATAAAATTATTGATTTAATCGTGCAACTTATAATTCATGTAAAATTTAGAGAGTTCTTTAAAGTGTTCTATCGAATATATTCGTTAATTTTAGCGAAACTTAATTATAATCACTCTTTTAAATTTGGGCAACTTTCACATATAGCAAACAAAAAATTCATATTTGTATGCTATAGCAAGCTTTGCATAATTGCGCTCCATAGCAAACATAAAACTGTATAATTTGCTATACATATACAATTGTATAATTCGCTGACCTAAATTGTATAATTCGCTGGCAATTTCGCTGCAATTGTATAATTTGTTTTGCATACAGTTGAATCGAATTAAAATGTATGTATATTGCATAATTATAAGTGTATAGCAAGAAAATATATGTTTTTCTCGCTTTATACAAAAACAGAAACACAATATGTATTTCACTGCAATTGTATAATTCGCAATTGTATAATTCGTTGGCCTTTTTCTCTGCAATATTTGAAGTAAAATGTTTGTAAATTGTATAATTAAGTGTATAACACGAAGATATACATTTTTGCATGTGTATATACAATTTTTCTCTCAATTTATACAAAACAGAAACAGAATTATATACTTCTGTATATAAAGCGAGAGAGACGAGCAAGAATGGAGAGTGGCGAGCGAGATTTTTGAGAACAAATTTTAGCTAATGTTTGCTATGGAACACAATTAAATCAAACCCTAGCTATTCCATTTAATTTAAGTTATTAGTCTGTTATTATATACAATTTTTCAAAATTTTCATGTATACTTTATTTTAATATTTGAACTTAGATTAGTATCTATAATATTAATTTTAGGGGATTTTGACAAAAATATACAATTTTATTACAAAAAATTATATTTAGATAATCCCTAAAAATAATTGTACTCCCATAGCTCATGACTGTTTATACATATATAAGACTAGTGATACAGTTACCATACAGTATACACAAATGTTTAAACTTGTATAAACATACATAATAATGTAAAAGAGATATTTATACACACTTTTACATTGTTATACACCTTATACATAATTTAAAAGGATCACTTCCAAAATTGGCACCAAGGTGTATACACCTTCTACATCGTTAAAATTTAAGAAGTCGATACAAATAATTTGATTCGATTTGGTATTTGAAAAACCCAAATAACCAATCCGGTCCATATATACCCCAACTTTGTATACTAATCACATGACATAATAATTAATATTTATCAACTCTCAAGAAGAAGAAGAAGATGTATCACCATAATGTCATTAGTCATATATTTAGCAAAATGCTGACCTTTATCAACAACATATTTTCCAGGACAACAATCAATTCAATGGCAAAATAGCAAACAATTAGGAGTTGAGAAGAACAATAAATGGCAAAAATGGTGACAAACAAGCAATGCAAGAAAAACAAATAGCCCCCAATCCCTAAACGAAAATCGAAATAACCTTTGATTAGCCTGGCCATATAAGTTCAAGGCCAAGAATCTCAAAGATTTGCTAACTAAAGCAATGAAGAGCTAAGTCAAATATTACTGTGAGTCTGAAATTGGCTTGCGAACCAAGAAGAAATACATCGGTGTGAAGATCCCTTTCCTGAAAGGACAACGACAGGTTTAAAAAGTTAATGTATCATTATAACGTTCGATACTCTACTAATATGTATGTATGAAGTAGAGTTGTTATCTTACTTGGCACCACCAACAAGACCTTCTGCGGCTTTTTCTAAGAAAGCTTGAACCCTTTGACTACCTTTAGGAGCTACACCCACATATTCAAGTGCCGAAACCTAACAACATTTAAGGGATCGTTTAGTTTACGTTCTCCATCAGCTAAGGATGGTAATGCATGCACGACTTGTTATGAAATCGACTAATAATTATAATACATGAATTGTTGTATAGGACAGACCAAATGGAAGGGACATTTTATCTTTAGATACTCTTTATCTAAAGTATTGCTAATACATAAAAGAACACATCACTATCCACTAAATATAAGTAACAAAATTCGTGACATGGAGTTTGATTCTAAAGTATTGAATTCAGCATAGTTCACGCAGCCTAATATCAAAAGCCAACATTGTAGTATGGTATTAGTTAGAGTGGCAAAGTTTGAAAGGCACGTGGTTTTGAAAAGAAAGGTTGGTCTTTGTTCCAACTCTTAACATTGAATTAATTGGGATGTCAAAGTTATCCAAGCTTGCATACAGGTCTACAGATGAACCACCATCAAAAAAAACAACGATAGCTTTGTAAGAAATCTTACCAGATTTCTGGTGAAAAGTCTGCCAACTGCTGTTAGGCGGAAGCTACTGAGTGAGAAGTGACTTGTATCTAAAGGCATGTACCATGAAACTGGTGAGTCTTCAGCGAGATCCTTATCCCACACAACCTACATATCACCGGCAAGTAGAATTTAGTGATCAAATGGCAAAGAGCAATCAAATGCTTAATAATATTATTAGAAGAAAAGGACTTGGAACTTACTTCAAAACCAGCTTTTCTCGCTGCTTCTAGGCACTGTTGTGTTGATCTAATCTCCGGGAGACCATTTCCGAGCTCAATTTCTTCCTATGGCCAACAAACAACTAAGATAAGTAAGACTATCCAACATATAAACAAATGCACGGAGACAGTCCAATAAATTGATAAATGACTTCAAAACTTCAAGATTGACCTTGATTCTTTTCTGCTCTTCATTATTTGGATTGTATGCATCAGTCATGCACCACTCATACACAGCAAAGCACTGACCAGGCTTCAGCACCCTATAGATCTCTCTATAGCATCCAACCTGACAAAAATCAGATTTATTAAAACAAATTAGAAGAATACAATTGTATAAATCATGTCATGCACCGCAGCATATACATAGCAAAGCAAGTGGTTTATAAAAAACGAAGTCATAATTGAACACGGTAAAGATATACACACCGGATCTGGTGCATGGCAGGTAGCTTCTATTGCATATACTGCATCAAAGCTATTGTCAGGGAATGGCATTTTCATGAAATCACCCTGCATAGACACTTTATCAAGCACTGCACAGGCAGTTCAAAAGAGATTGACCTGATGTACCAGTTTACTACCTTTACAAAGTTGCAAGTTTGATCCAATCCCACTTTGCGGTTCAACACCTGCAGAGTAAAGGATGTTAGACAACTACTCGGAAAAAAATAAAAATTCCAACCATTTAAAAAGGAAGCAACATAGTCATCCTTCTTGTTTTTGTATATTGACCAGAAAACTAGATGACACGTGATCTTAAAATCCAAGTATAATAAAGTTTCAGATGAAAGTAAACAGGTCCTACATGCTTCGATTGTGTTCTGACTTGTTATAGATCGTCAGAATAACAAAGGGCAATCTCTGCCTAATTACATCACCTCTTGCAACAGATAGTTTTACAAACAGAACTAGGGAGCAAGTAAATACCTGTCCTCGAGATATCTGATATTCATTGTTGTTGAGGCCTGTAACTGATGTAGAGCTGCATGATTTACAATAAAATGATGAGACTCTACAGAAATTTCTATGTAAGATACGAAGATCACCATAAGTAAATTCACTGATCAAGTTATATACAATTTACCACTATTAGAAGTAAAAAGAAGCAGGTGAGGAATTTGCAGCCCTTGTTACCTGCTTTAGTTGTGTCCATTAAAAATGTTAAACTCAAAAGCTTTGTGAACACTCTAACAAGCACCTAAATAAACAGGCATTCCTTTTGTTGTGTTCCCAACTTCCAAATGTTCAGTACAGACATTCAACCTCAGCTTTGATAGTGTTTATGCATAACTTAGCTACAGATATGAAATTGAATGTACAAAGTTTAAGTCTAAAGAGTCATCAGATGAGTGGCAGTTGCCAAACAAGTGCACACCAATAGCCTGATGTTCATCCTACCACTACCCATGGGATAATGCGGGATATACACTTCCAGTTCTAGAAGAAACACATGAAAGAGACATGCAAACTGCCATCATGAGGATCCATTATATTGATTGTGTGGCAGGGTTGGCATTATATAGCATGATGCAATACGGAATTTCATCAAATTTCAACTGAATAATCACAAGTAAAGGATAAGCTGGAATACAGGGCCCAAATGATATTGGGAGCTCAATAATTGAAATAATATCTTCACCTGAATCGAGCAATTTCTCTTAACGGCCCTCCAATTCCACATCCTACATCCAAGACCTGCAGTCATAATCTCGGTTTCAACAGCTAATTTGGAGCAGTAATATAAGGCAAGTACTTCATTATGTCTTCTTTTTCATTAATGATAATTTATGCAAGCCAAACCTTTTGTCCTGGTTTCAATCCCAGTTGCAAGGCAAGGAAGTGCTCATGCCTCTTAATGCTTTCCTGGAGTGATTCTTCTTTCCATCTGCAGGCAATGTGATCGAAATAGTAAGTAATAACTAAGTGACCAAAACCTCACATTTATTCACTTGTGTATGAACGGACCAAGATAAACAAACCTGGGCGCAAAATGGAAGGACTCTCCCCATCCGTATTCATAGAAGCTGGTGCAAAGATCATAGTATTTGTTTACCTGAATATAGGATGTGTTACTATTTTAGCAGCTAAACCAAATTACATAATTGTGCTTCAACGAAATGTACATGAATACTACATGAAAAGCAAGACAGTGAATTGATGGGAGGATAAAAGCTTGAATAGCTAAATCGATCCATCAGCTGCCAATTAAGCCTCAATCCCAAACTAGTTGGGGTAGGCCATTCGGATCCATTTCATTGCAATATTGGTATAATAAGGAGACTCTAAATCCTCACACCGAATTGGATAAGGTTTGTGGCAAACATAAGATAAGTGTAAACACAAAAACTGTCTTTTAGTTCTAATTCTTGTAAGTTGTGTATAGGAGGAAGAACAACACAAGTACTTGCATAACAAAACTAAGCCATATTGATTACTTTAGCTTTACACCAAACCCATTTTAGCACCATCAGTCATAGTAGTACTAGACCCTATTGTGTGGTGCATTTAGAGCTTATGTAAACCCATTTCACAACTAGAGAAAAATTTGAGAATAATGAAACAATGATCTGCCTTAAACCTAATCCAACATCAATACAGATCTTTAGTCTCGAAAGCTTGCCTTTTCCTCGAATAAAAGAACTTATTTTCTCACTCGAAGCAGAGTTCTATGTTTCAAAATGCAGAGAAGTAACAATATACTTGAAAGCTGAAATAAAAGAGGCCTCGTCTCGGAGAAATTAGCTTCCTATATTTCAGCTCCAACTAACACCAATAATATTTGCTACCTCAAAATCCTTTGCAATCACCATAGCTTTAGTATTTCCCACTAATATCAATAATTCAGCTTACAGAGCAAAAAATAAACGAAAAGGGTTGGTCTACATTTATCCAAACAACAAAAAAACGTGTCTCTTTGTTCATTTTGTTCAGCAAAATCAAACCTAAGAGTCAGGAGCAAGGTGTAAAAAACATTTTTTTCCCTGCTCTTTCTGTAAACCAATACATCCCTGCTCTCAAATGGATAATGAAGTTATAAGATAGATAGAATGGCTCTCACCATGTCAGTGTAGTTATTCTTTCTCTCGTCTTCTTCACCTCCATAATAACCATGGTACTTCTCATATCTAAAGCATTTGACACAAATCAACAAATAAATTTAGAATTCCACAAGGTTAACAACAATCATACAAGAAAAAGGAAGAAGGAAAAAGGGAAGTCAACTGCAACTAAGAAATTGGTCGGTAGCAGATAATTGGTTCATTTATTTGACTACAAATGATCCAAGAACCTTCTAAAACAGAGATATCCACACATGCCAAAGAAACTATCTTTAAAAGATCCACCAAGTTGATTATCATTTAGAGTTAAATCAACAGTAAAGAGTCAGTTTGTAAGATATGCGAGTTTTTAGTTATGCATGTATTAATTATTTCGATATATACTTGGTGTGCTGTATAGAGCACAAAGTTTTTGTACTCCCATGGCAGCTAATATGCTACGAAACACGATATTAGTTATGCAGATTTTAATACATAAATAATTCACTTCCTAACCATCCACCGAACTTAAAGAGTTTCTCTATTATTATATTACTAGAAAACCAATAAATAATACCACTACACCCGTTTGGATAAAAACAAATGAAAGAAGAAATGAGAATACATTTTTTTATACTTAACAAAGAAAACAGGCATTTAATAATATGAATACAAGACATGACAGCAGAGTAACTTACTCCCAAAAAAGATCTATCCTATCACCATAAATATATATTATAAAAAATAAATTGTGGGCACCAAGGACCCAAAGTAAAAGAATTTGTGGTGTCAAAAATATTTCTTCCAATTCAAATTTTCCTGTACTTTAAAAATTGTGTTGTCAGTGAAACATTCTTAACTTATCCAACATTAGGTACACACAACAGAATCTTTGATGAAAATGACAGATCAGCATCACAAACTCCACTAAAAACAAGTTGTATTCATAACACAAAACTAAAATTGGATCTACAGTAGTAATCAACCCTCTATGATCCAGATCAATCAATCTAAACAAACCCCACATTAAGTTAAAACTTAAACCCCCATGAACAAAATTTGATAAAAATTGAATCTTTTTTGAAGAAAAAGAAAAGCTGCTCACTTTCGAAGGGTCACATACAAATCTCAGATTTTTAAGTTCTAAACCTTAAAGGGTTTATCTTTTTGAGGGGTTTATTAAGATTTATACCCAAAAAAAACAACTATAAACAGAGTGAGTGATGTATATATACTTGTCAACAGCAGAGAGAACTTCATCCTTGCCAATTCTTCCTCCAACCCCAAATGCCAGATCAAAAGCCCCTTGTTTTGACATCTCTTTTCCCAAATCACAAGATCTATAAACAAGATTAAACAAACCCCATGATGAAATCAAGTAAAGATTAACAATGCAGAAGAAAAAAAGAAAAGTAGAAAGCTTACAACTTTAAGATGGAAAAAAACGGAAAAGGAAATGCCAAAACGGAGACGGATCCTTAGAAAAAGCAAATATGCTGTAAACAACTACAGCAACAACTCATATATATATATACGCCTAATGCCAGCACTCAAAAATTGAAAGACACCATAAACAGAAGTGGGGGTTCGTGGCCACGTCACATATTATACCACGTCTCCTTCACCCCCTATTTAGGGCCCGGTTCGACATGCGAATCACTCTATAAATTTCAAAAAATTAAAGATAAGAGAACGTGAGTCGAGACGTTTTAAGTATCAAAAGAAAAAGAATTATTTTTTTTATTTTTGATTGGTTAAATATATTTCAAATTATTTTTTTCTTAAAAAATAAGAATTTAATAATGGAAAAAAGATAAATATATTTTTGAACTATCGTAAATGGTATGTAGATATCTTCAGTCATATTTTTGGGACATTGATGCCTTTGTCATTCAAAAACTAGAGCTTATATTCGTTTCACTCTAACAGAAGACTAAATAGGAATACGTGCCGCAATCTTGTTCGTAGATCCGTATTTTATAGATGTCGGGTTAGTGGACAAGACTATGACATGTGTATGTCCGTTAGTATAAAAGATATATATGCTTTAGTTATTGGACGGCAATACCACTAATTTTTTTAAAAGTATGGCCGAGTTGTATACCATTTATAATAATTCGAGATATATTTGTACTTTTTTCGTTTAAAAATTAAAAAAAAAATATTTTTCAAAACTTTAAAACAATTATAAAATTTTTTTTGGTTAAAAAGATAAATTTTAAGTAATGTATATGTCAAAATTTTATACATTATACCGTACTAAAAATATATATGTTATATTAAATAAGAGCGTGAGTCAAGACGATTTATGCCCTATGTTGCATCTTGCGAGTGATATAAATCTATGAAATGTAAATGTCATAATTTTTTAATTTTCAACTATGTTTATTTGAAAATAAATAAAATTATGACTAATCATTTTATAATTTACTATAAAAAAATATTTTAATATGAAAATTATGATTACATGAAATATAAATATCATTACAATTAAAAAATTGTGATTTACAACAAAAAGACGTTAAGACAATAAAATCAAAATTAACGTTCGCATACCTTTTCACATTCGAAACTTATGTTTTTATTTTCGTTATTTACATTTTATGAATTTACGTATTTAATTGATATTTTAGAGTGTTTTAGGATATCTTATCTTCGTTACTTACATCTTATTTGAACTTTCAATAATGCGTAATTTTAAATAATTAACTAATGATCAATAATAATAATGATAATAATTTTGAAACTTTTGAATAGCACATCTTCATTTTTTTCTTAAAAAATATAAACTTATGAATAAAATTTTATATTTCAAAATTACAACTCCCAAATCACATATTCAACTACTGATACCAAATTATATGTCCATATGCAAGTTTAATCTTTCTATTTGTCCATCTTTGTTTTATTATTAGGGAAACTTTGATCTATAGTGCCGCTTTGATTTTTTTTTTTATTTTGATAACGTGCATGGAATCCAAACAGATACAAAAATTAAACTTTACGAAAAAAAATATTTACATTAGTTATAGTGTAACTGAGGGTCAGGGCCAGGGCCGGAGTTATTTTATACTAAGGGTGAATCTCCTTTGATAGAAAATTATCTTATTTATATATGATTAAAATAATTTTTATATATATATAATACATATTGTACCCGTTTGACTACTTTAACCGTGTATTTCTACATATTTTGAATTCCTATATTGAAATTCTGACTCTGTCTAAGGGTCGATCCAAAAATAAAGTGAGAGATTCTCAAAAGTTCAATAATTTGTGTTGTTATATTTATTTGATTTTTTTATTAAACACATATAAAAATGGCAATAAAGACATATCCATTGAACTATACAACTGGAATTTGAATGGGCAGTGGTGTTGACTAGATATCCAACTTTAAATAGGGAAAATGGGCAAGCTGGACCAAGGGACCACGTATTGAATTGGGTACATACATTTCAAATATTCGTAAATGGTATATCAATATTTTACGTCATATTTTTTGAGATATTAGTGTCTTTATTGTTTAAAAACTAAAATATATATGCTTTTTATTCCAACGAAAATAGGGACACGTGATATTTTTTATTCGTTGATTCGATATTTAATAAATATCAAATTGATGAATAAGATTATGACGCGTGTTTATCCAATAGTATAAAAGATATATATGTCTTAACTTTTAAACGACAGATATATCTATGTATCAAAAATATAATAAAAAAATAACTATATACCATTTACGATAATTTGAGAGTATATAATTTTTAAAAAAATTTGGACTCTGATACTTATTTTCTGAAGCTATTTTCTAAGAAAAATTATAATGATTTTGTTATTTCTAAAAAATGGGACCCTTCAAATTAGACAGCCTAAGACGGATGTCTTGTTTTCTTACGCATGAAGCCGGCAATGTCAAATAAATTAAAAAAAAAAATCAAATTTTAATATTCCACTTAAGTTATATTCCATTTTAACACTTCAATTCCTTTTTTCATATACCTTTCAAACATAAAGAATAGTATTTGATAGCAATTATTTAGTGTGACTGAAAATATAAAAATATATAATTAGATTATTTCATATATTTTGTTTTTCATTTTATTCAATGTTATGATTTTATTCAAGATAAACTCAAATATTTATTTTTTAATTTTTAACACGATTTCAATACGGGTTATAAAGAAAAAATTACTATACATTTGTCAATAATATTACTAAAACTCAACAAATACATAAATAGATCCCTAATTTTTTTGGGTTTTCCCCCTTAGAAACTTTAACTATGTTATTTTTCTATTGAATCGTTGAATCAACCATAATGTGTTCCTTTTTTTAACGCCGTTGACTGATATAGAACCAGATTTTGCGATGGGTATTGATAGATGATACATATGGTGTCCCAGATTTCATAAGTCCAATTGATAGCAAAACTATTCGAGAATAATTGTGTTTTACTTCAAGTTATTTGAAAACATTAGAAAAGAACACACAATTTTTCTTCACTCCTTCGATCAAAATCATTACAATACGAACACAATATAAGACATTTATAATGGAAAAGCCGATCAAAATAAGTCAATAGTGTTTAAAAGGAACAAATTATGGGTGGTTCAATGATTCAATAGGAAAATGACTTAGTTAAGTGCCCGAAGAGGAAAAAGTCAACAAGTTTAGAGATTTGTTTATGAGTTCATCCTAAACTTTTTTTAAAAAATAGTGAATTTTAAGATAATTGACGTAGTTTCATTAATTATTTTGTGTTTATATAAAATATAAAATTGAATAATAAAATGAAACAAAATTGAGAAAAGGTATTACTATGAAAATTAGGTTCAAACATTTTTTTTTTCTCTTGTTTGAATAATAGGTGGCCAGATGAATATCCAACAAACATTCTTTTAGCTAAGAAGGAATCAATAATGACATGTTACAGCTTGCTTAAATAGGTATTTAAATGTAGTTTAAGATCTAAATTATGTTTTTTTTTAAATAATATTTTATATCATAATGTTTTTCCCCACTATATAGAAATGTTAGTGGTGGACATGTCAGTATTTTTTTAAAAAATTAAAGTTCATCTTCATCTTCATTGTACTTTAACCTTTTTATAAGAATCAAGAGTTAGTATATTTTTTATTAAAAAATTATGTATATATGTTTGTACCATCTAAAAATAGTATATGTATTTTTGATGTTTAATAAATGATATATATTTATCACTTTTATTAATAGATTTAATTTTTTTAACAAAAAGTAGTTTTCTATTTTAAAAATACTACATATCTTTTTTAAAAAATCCATCCATTTTCTTTACATCCTTTCCCTCTTTTAGATCCAACCCAATTTTTATTTTTATTTTTTAAAAATAATTCTTTTTTATTAAAGTTGATCCAAATTTACTTGTGATCAAAATTATATTGTTTCATTCGATTTGGGTATGAAGGAGTGAAAATAAGTGAACATATATATTAAAGTCATGTAATACTTTTGAAATTAAATAATTAATTTTAAAAGTTTAATAAATATAAATATATTAACGAAAAAGAATATATATATATATATATTATTTGTGTAAAATATATCAATTCTTGATCACAAAATTCGAGAAAATATATTTATTGTAATTCTTTTCCCTTGTTTGTATATGATGTATCCTCAAATGACAAAAATTCAAAGAACCTTCCTTATAATATGCTGCCAAACATGTGTTGAGAAATTTTAAAAAAATATTTAAAAATATATGTTTTAAAGCGATTTCAAAATACAAATATCATATATCTAAATATAATTTAACAAGTGGAACTTTTAAAATCTAAAATATTTTTTATGCAATCATTTGCTATTTGATACTCAAAAATTTTCAAAACATATTTGCTCCTAATGTTGTAGTGAGATACTATATTATAATGAATATGCAATAAATAGAATTAAAAAATTATTTTTTTAAAATCTTAAAAATAAGTTTTAAGGCAATCATTTGAAATTTAATACTCAAAATTATAGTTCAAAATGATGAGATTTAATTTATTCCTAATGTATTAAAGAGTACTACCATCTTACTTCTCATAATTGATGATGTCTTTTGTTATAAAAAATAGTATGATAAATTAAATAATGTAACATAATATAAAAGATAATTCTAAAAAGAACGAATCATTATACTGAAATGCTATTGTAAAAAACGATTATATAATTTTTACTTAAATTTATTCACTCATTATATTATTAATTTATTTACTATATAATGGTCAAAGTGATATTATGTAACTCTAGATTAAATTTAACTTTAACGTATTTTTTAAAAAATATTACTATTATTTATTCTAAAAGAAATTGAATAATAGCTATATCTTGTACCATTTTTATTAGATGGCAAATTTGATTTGTATGCATTTTATGAACATTTTTAATTTGGCCAAAATATTGACTATTTTATCTTTAATATTTTTTTAAAAAAAATTCTCAAAATATTTATCCCAATATAACACCTCTATTTT